TGAACTTGTACCTGTGTGCATGAGTGAGAGTGATTGTCAAATGTCGTCACATTTTTAATTTCTTCCAGGTTATCTGGTAATAAATTTGTCTTTTTTTACAAGAAAAGCTCAAGAAAACCTTGTAATTGGATCTTCATTGCTCCAGTAAAAATGAGATAATTATACTTTTACTGGAGAAAGATATACTGAAGTGAGGTACATAAGGGTGCTCAGGTGAACTTAAACCCGTCTTGTGGCCAACCATGTGATTGATTCACCTCTCTTTATCTGGTGTAATAAAATAACTGAGCAAAAATGTTCATTTCTGAGGCAAGTTTAAATATATCACAGAAATAGAGAGTTTTTGGAAGATGACAACAAAAATTAATCTAGTTTCATGCATCCTGTCCTCAGAGTCCCACTTTCTCACGAACCCTGTCCTCGCTGACGCATACTTCTTTCAGTGTATCAAATTTAAAGCATTTTAATGTCACTTTATGGGCTTGTTTCACCGGTATCCACACGCTTCAGCATTATATTCCACTTTCCCGTACTTATTTCATCCGTAAACTGGCAAGTTCCAAATCTCTGGAATCACCTTGCTAAATTTCGCTGCAATGGTTTCATTTTACAAGCTTTTCCAAATCTATTTCTTCAACTGTGGCTTTGGTCAACTGGCTCAATGTCATCCTTCTTCATTGGCAGTCTGCTCTCTCTGCTATAAATACTTCTTAATTACATGTGATTGTCCTTTGTATTTCCATCACAGCTTCTAGTCATTTCAGATCTCTCTGTGAAGAGTCTTCTCATTTTCCCTTCAACTCTTCTGTAAATTATTTTAAATTATAACCTCTGTGTTTGCTGAACCACGTGTCTAAGGTCATAAGAATTAAGAGCAGGCAAGTGCCATATGGATCCTCAAGCCTGCTTTGCCGTTCAATAAGGTTAAATTAATCTGACTCCATGACTTCCACTTTCTTGCCTGCTCCATAATCCTTGGCCCATTGTAAATCAAAAATCTGTCTAACTTAATCGTAAATAAATTCAATAACCCAGTCTCCACTGCTCTCCAGGATAAAGAATCCCAAATAATAATGACCCTCTGAAAGAAGAAATTCTTTCTTCATCTCCATCAAATGGGACATCCCTCATTCTTAAACTGTTCACCTTAGTTCTAGATTGCCCCACAAGGGCAACATCCTTTTCGCATCGACCTTGTCAATTTACCTCAGAATCAAATATTTTTCACTAAAATTACCTTTAAAACCTTTAAAATTATCTTATTCATTTAGTTGCAAAATGTGCTGGGTAACCCCCCTCAGCTTTTTCCTTAGAAGACAAATCCTTTGTTGCAGGAATCCGCTGAGTGAACCTTCTTGGAATTGCCTCCACTGTAAGTCTACCTCTCCTTAAATATAGAAATGAAAACTGGATGCAGTAATTCAGGCGTGTTCTCATCAATATCCTTTACAGTTGTAGCAAGATGTCCTTACTTTTGTACCCCAATTTCCTTGCAATAAAGGTTGACATTGTATTTGTTTTCCTAATTACTTGCTGTACCGGCATGCTAACATTTTCTGATTCCTGTGCAAGTACATTCAGATCCCTACTGTGCTACAGAATTCTGCAGTCTTTTTCCTTTTAAATAAGATCCTGCTTTTCTATTCTCCCTCCCAAAGTTGACAAATCTTATTTTTTCACTTTGTAATCCATTTATCAATTTTTTGCCTATTTATTTGCTCTACCTACATCCTTTTGGTAACATATTCTCTCAACATGCTTCCCTACCTGAAACAGAGGACACTAGAGAAACTCAGCAGATCTAGCAGTATCTATGCAAAGAGACACTTCTTTGGATTTCCAGCATCTATTGTCTTTATTTGGGTGTTTAATTCACTGCCACTACTCTTCCAGGTATGTCCATCTTGAAGAATTTCTGGTGTCCTCTCTGACGGAATTTCTGTTTTAATCCGCCAGCTTGTCCCCCTTCTTATCTTTCGATCTCCCTCCAGTTCTAAAGAAGAGTTATAAAGGTCTCAAAACATAAACTCTGTTTCTCTCTCCATAGACGTTGCCAGACCACTGAACTTGAACTGCATTTTCAGTTTTTTTTCAGATTACCAGCATTTGCTGTATTTTTCTTTTATTGTTTTCCTATTTCTGTATTGTCAAGAAATTTATAAATGAGCAACTAGTTTATTTGTAGTTTTTCCGCCGCCTCCGCCTCCGCGTTTACTTCTTCAACTGTGAGCCTAACCCTCCCTCTACTGACCCCCTTCTCCCACCTCCAACACACCTCTTCCTCCTGGACACCACCAAGGCCTCCTACCCTCCCTCGACCTCTTCATCTCCAACTGCCGTCGAGACATCGATCGCCTCAACCTCTCCACCCCTCTCACCCACTCCAACCTCTCCCCCGCAGAACGTGCAGCCCTCCGCTCCCTCCGCTCCAATCCCAACCTCACCATAAAACCTGCGGACAAGGGAGGCACAGTTGTAGTATGGCGCACTGACCTCTACATCGCCGAGGCCGGACACCAACTCTCCGACACCTCCTCCCACCGCCCCCTTGATCATGACCCCACCCCCGAACACCAAACCATCATCTCCCAAACCATCCACAACCTCATCACCTCAGGTGACCTCCCACCCACAGCCTCCAACCTCATTGTTCCCCAAACCCGCACCGCCGCTTCTACCTCCTTCCCAAAATCCACAAACCTGACTGCCCTGGTCGACCCATTGTCTCTGCCTGCTCCTGCCCCACCAAACTTATCTCCACCTATCTCAACTCCATTTTCTTCCCCTTAGTCCAGGAACTCCCTACCTACGTCTGTGACACCACCCACGCCCTCCACCTCCTCCAGAACTTCCGATTCCCCAGTCCCCAACACCTCATCTTTACCATGGACGTCCAGTCCCTATATACCTGCATTCCCCACACAGATGGCCTAAAGGTCCTCCACTTCTTCCTGTCCCGTAGGTCCGACCAGTCCCCCTCCACTCACACCCTCATCCGCTTAGCCGAACTCGTCCTCACCCTCAACAACTTCTCTTTCAATTCCTCCCACTTCCTACAGACAAAGGGGGTGGCCATGGGTACCACATGGGCCCAAGCTATGGCTGCCTCTTTGTAGGTTACGTGGAACAATCCCTCTTCCGTACCTACACTGGCCCTAAACCCCACCTCTTCCTCCGTTACATTGATGACTGTATCGGCGCCGCCTCGTGCTCCCACGAGGAGCTCGAACAGTTCATCCACTTCACCAACACCTTCCACCCCAACCTTAAGTTCACCTGGACCATCTCCGATACCGCTCTCTCTTTCCTGGACCTCTCCGTTTTCATCTCTGGCAATCACCTAGAAACTGATATCCATTTCAAACCCACCGACTCCCACAGCTACCTAGAATACACCTCCTCCCAACCACCTTCCTGCAAAAATGCCATCCCCTATTCCCAATTCCTTCGCCTCCGCCGCATCTGCTCCCAGGATGAGGCATTCCACTCCCGTACTTCTCAGATGACCTCATTTTTCAAGGACCGCAACATCCCCCCTTAGTGGTCGAGAACGCCCTCGACCGTGTCTCCCGCATTTCCCGCAACTCATCCCTCACATCCCCTTCCCGCAATAACAACCAAAACAGAATCCCCCTCGCCCTCACGTACCACCCCACCAACCTCCGGATCCAACGCATCATCCTCAGACACTTCCGCCATCTGCAATCCGACCCCACCACCAAAGACATTTTTCCCTCCCCACCCTTATCTGCTTTCCGGAGGGACCACTCTCTCCGTGACTCCCTTGTCCGCTTCACACTCCCCTCCAGCCCCACCACACCCGGCACTTTTCCCTGCAACCGCAGGAAGTGCTACACTTGCCCCTACACCTCCTCCCTTCACCTGCACATCTGCTAATATGGTATACTGCATCCGCTGTTCCCGTTGTGGCCTCCTCTACATTGGGGAAACCAAGCGGAGGCTTGGGGACCGCTTTGCAGAACACCTACGCTCGGTTCGCACTAAACAACTGCACCTCCCAGTCGCGAACAATTTCAACTCCCCCTCCCATTCCTCAGACGACATGTCCATCCTGAGCTTCCTGCAGTGCCACAACGATGCCACTCGAAGGTTGCAGGAACAGCAACTCATATTCTGCTTGGGAACCCTGCAGCCCAATGGTATGAATGTGGACTTCACAAGCTTCAAAATCTCCCCTCCCCCAACCGCATCCCAAAACCAGCCCAGCTCGTCCCCGCCTCCCTAACCTGTCCTTCCTCCCACCTATCCCCTCCTCCCACCTCAAGCCCCACCCCCATCTCCTACCTACTAACCTCATCCCGCCCCCTTGACCTGTCCATCCTCCCTGGACTGACCTATCTCCTCCCTAACTCCCCAACTACACTCACATTTACTGGCTCCATCCCCGCCTCTTTGATCTGTCTGTCTCCTCTCCACCTATCCTCTCCTCTATCCATCTTCTATCTGCCTCCCCCTCTCTCCCTATTTATTTCAGAACCCCCTTCCCCTCCCCCATTTCTGAAGAAGGATCTGGGCCCGAAACGTCAGCCTTCCTGCTCCTCTGATGCTGCTTGGCCTGCTGTGTTCATCCAGCTCTACACCTTGTTATCTTAGTTTATTTGTAATTGTTTTAAGATTCATTATAATTTTGGATAATCTAATATGCCTTCCTTTAACCATCTCCACTCTAAAGAGAACAATATCCGATTCTCCAATCTCTCCATGCCATTGAATTTCTACATCTCTGGCATCATCCTGGTAAAGCTCTTCCTGGCTTTGTCATTCTTCGTAAAGTGTGGTACCTAGAATTGTCCACAATTCTCCAGCTGAGAGCTAAGCAGCAAATTTAAAGGTGAAGCATTTCTGGCTCCCTTGTTCATGTATTCACTGTCCCATTTACTATTCTGATTATCTTGTTTTTTTTCATTTGATTTACCAATTTGCTTTGCATCCTTCAACGATTTGTAAATTTGTATTTTTTTGTATATTTACCTGTGCATTTATATTTCCACGTTCAGATCTGTGAAGCCTTTTTTGCCTTCATTCACCAGCACAGGTTTCTCAGTCCGTGTGTGCCAAACTAGTATCTATGTGGAAAGAAAAATGGAGGTAAGAACACAACAGATTCCATAATAACACAAAACCCAAAAGGAAATCTTGCATTGAAACAGAGTTTGATCACTGCTCCTTCAAAGTTGTGCAGAAGTGTTGAAGTGTGCCAACAGTGTGGGTTACAAAAACTGAGTTGTGTATTTTCTCTTTGATACATTGTACAAATTTCTGGCCATGAGGGATCCATTGAAAATGAAGCTTCATTTGTCTTCTAAAAAAGCAAAGGCAAGAGTCATTATATCATACAACCCATTGTGTCTGTGACAGCTCTTTGAGAGAGCTTTCCAATTAGTCTCACTTGTCTACTCTTTTCCCTTAGCCTTGACAATTTCTCCTTCGCAAGTGTGAATCCAATTCCCTTTTGGAAGTTATCATTCAAGATGTTTCCACAACCCCTTCAGGCAATGGATTCTAGATCATAACAACCCTCTGCATAATTTATTTTTTGCCTCATTTTTCCCAATTGCCAATTATCTTCTATCTGTATCCTTTGGTTAAGAACCTTATGATGTGTTAATAAGTAGTTTGTGGAATAATTTGACATTATGAGGCCCCCTGTGTTACTTAGTGAGATCAAATAAGGCAAGTTGTCTTCCATGTGTTAATGGTTTGAAACAACGACCTGTTATACTAATATGATGTACCGTACAGTGATAGGCTATGGGTTCTTGTAATTGACTGAACTCTCAAAGGAGGTATCATGCGCAGGCCAACCTTTCCCTTTGTGCTTCTGAAGGGACAGATATTCAAAATCTAGAAATCTTGTGATCTACAAGCATATGCTAACAAAAGGCAACGTGTGAAACCCACTGGAGATCATCAACCTCTCTTCTCTGGGAAAATTCCATTTTTGTTTTGACTCCAGCAATTTCTGTAATCTAATAAAGAAATAATTTAATTTTTGTTGCAAAACAATATGCAGCACCATTCACCAGCTCTTAGACTTTGCTGCCAAAAAAACTTATAGCTCTGTCTTCAATAGTCTAATTCAAATGAATTATTAAAGGTTTGTGTCCAACATAAATATTCAATGTAAAGATTAAGCTACCCTGTCTTTAAAACAAAACTTTCAGCTGAGGTGATTGCACAGCAGTATTTTGAAGATAACCATGGGTGTAGTCCTTAGTGCCTTGGCTATTATTAATCTCTCAACTAACCTCAGTGAAACAGATTATTTGGTCATTGTCACAACCCTTTTTGTATGTGTTTGCTGTGCACAAATTAATGGCTTTTGTTCATCCTTTCTATCACTTAAAGTCACTGCTACTCATCTTTCATTTGAATGGACTGTCAATGATGTTTCAGGCTATTCCAGGGTGTAGTTGGTCTTGTTCTGGCAGGACTGTTCTGGCCTGAACCAAACAGAACACGGAAGAAAAGTAAGTTACTAAAATTATACGATCACAGGAAATGTGTGTGACATCAAGTTACAGCATCAAGCTGTAAAAGAAGAGAAGGTTGAAAATACACACAAAAATTCACTGAACTCTGTAACAATCTGCGAGATAATGTTTAGAAGAAAATCTAAATTCAGGTAAATCTCTTGCTCAATATTAGGACTTGAATATTCCATATATTCAGGTTTTTTTTAAATGGGATGTCACTAACCGGGCCAGCATTCATTGACAATCCCTAATTGTCAGAAGGCAGTTGAGTCAATTACATTGGTATGGGTCTGGAGCCACATGTAAGCCAGACACACTAAGGATGGCAGTTTCCTTCTCTAAAGGATAATAGTGAAACAAATATTTTTTACAACAATTGTCTCATGGTTGCTACAAGGCTAACCTTTCATTCCAGATTTTTATTCCATTCAAATTCTACCTCGTGGGATTCAAATGCTGGTCCCAAGAACATTAGCCTGCATCTCTGATTTAGTCCCAAAGGAGTGAATTATAATGTATTAGTCTGATTCCTTTTATTGAATAAAAGCCATTGAAAGTTAACAATAAGTGAATGTAAATTATCTTTGTTTTAAAAAATGCTTAAAAGGCTATAAACATAGTACAGGTAAGTCAGAATGGGGAAACGGACAAATTTGTGGAGAATCCTTTCTCGGAAAAGTTCAAGTAAAATAACCCCTCCAAAACATTAAGATATCTTTCTGTTATATGCTGTTTATGTGCACAATGTTCTGTAAAAACGATTGAAGTTCATTAGGAAAATAATTTCAAAAGTTAAAAATTATAGCAGATAAAAAGCAAACCGGGAATGTGATACTGTAGACAGAGCACAAACATGAATAATGCCAATTTTAGAATGTATTAGTGCCACTAGATTTTAGCTGAGCTAAATAGGTATGTATTCACTAGGGACATACAGAGTAATTTGTTTCTTCCTCATAGCGTATGCACCACCAGCGTCTGGACAATTTCATTTTGACAAATTATAGTGCTAAGAAAATGAATGCTTCCAGGCTCCTAAATCCAGGAGCTTGGTGCTTTAAGCTCAGAATTGGAGGAAATACGATGCAAACGTTTAAGGAATTGTTGCAGTAGAAAGGTGAGCAAGGAGAAAGGTGATGTTTGATACCAAAGAGATTGCTGATGATACTGAGGTCATGTTGCTATGATTTATGTGTGTATTTAATGCTTTAAAGTGACAGCCTGGATCACTATAGTATTCTGCTAGAAATTATATTATGTATGTGAACTGTAAAAGAATGAATTTAAGTACAGTGTTTTACATAAATCTTTAAAATTGATAACTTATTTTCCACAGTTCATCTTTCCCCAAAGTCACCACAATCTCTTTTTACTTCCTTGCAATGATTCTGTCTATATTTATGCATTAAGATTGGAGAGGTGAGCTTGTATTAAATTAGTACAAACATCAGAGAAAGGCAGCTTCTTGGCTGAACTGACTATATAGAGAGCTATAGGCATACCAGTTCATCTTCTGATGGATAAGTAGGGTTACAGGCATGTGGAACCACTATGTGAAATTTCCTTTCCTCTAAGCTCTTTTCACATCAATTTTCTCCCCTCCTTCTTTCTTTCTCAAGGCTACTCATTTTGTACTCGAGTCATCCAGGATCAGGCAAAACATTACTGTTCATTTGTGCACTACATCTGTGTGACTAAAGGAGGCATCACTACTCAATCTCAACCAGCGGTCTCAAAAATGGACTTCCATCAATTGATTTTGGCAATTAGGAATGGAAATCTGACTCAACCTTCCTCTCCCTAAACACTAGAGCCAGTTGTTGCTTGACTGGCATTGACAGATGAGATGAGGAAACACAATACAGAAACAAAACCTACCTTCTCTCAGCAGCTGAGCCATTTGCTGCCCGAGCTAGGAAAATGCTCCAAATATTTTCTCAGAGGCAATGCCTAACAAATGTTTTAGCAACAGGCAGTAGGTAAACACAATGTTATTATCTTGAATGTTCACAGCTTTTGACTTTTTTTGTGAGGGACACTGACTTCTTTTGGAACTTCTGCATGTGTAGTCAATCCACCAGTAATACAGCAAAACTCTAAACCATGAGGTCTAAAGTAGAACATCTTTGAGTATGAAGGATAACTTTCAAAATGGAGATTGGAGTTCATTCATTTTCTGTGCTTCTATTCCTACATTTCCACATGATATAAAATGTCGCTACTGTTAGTGCATCTTGCAAATTTGGGCTTGCCAGCATTTATTTGATGCCTGTCTCAGTGTTGATACACATTATAAAAAAACCTCCATTTCCTGGCTTCTTCTGTATACTGCATTTTGACTCATGTCTCATTATGAATAAGAATCTTCCACATGGACCAGGTTGAGTGTCCCATGAACATGCCTGAGACACAGCTCACAAGCTGAGTCAGGAGTGTGACAATTGGATCTCTTGTACTTTCAAGGTTTTTGCTGTTTCCTCAGCTGCAAAACTAGATGCTATTTCTCACCCTTATGTTGAGCCTTACATGTTGCCCTTCCCTGGTACAACTGTTTGGCTTGGTTTAATATCAGAGTTGCTGCACATTTTAAGGGGTATCCATAAATATAAATACAATGAACATATAGAGCAAACTGTCGACTAAGTGAGGTACAAGTACTCTGACCACAATTTCAGTAAGGCAAGTAAGCAAACAGAAACATGCCGAATAGATATAATTGGATATAAGGTTAGGTGGATTGGCCATGCTAAATTGCTTATTGTGTTCAGGGACGTGCAGACTAGCCATGGGAAATGCAGGTTTACAGAGACAGGGTATGGGGGCGTGGGTATGGATGGGATGCTTTTCGGAGCGGCGGTGTGGACTCAATGGGCCAAATGGCCTGCTTCCATTGTAGTGATGCTATGTTCCTATGATAAGCTGTAAGTAATTTCTGCAGGGAACAAAATGTTATGAACAATTAAACTTTAGCTTGATTTGGCAACAGCCCATATGGCAGCAATAGGAGTTTTCAGAGAAGACAATGGGACAGTAAATGGGATAAACCGTGTCATTTTCTGCAGAAGTTTCAAGCACCCCAAAGTTTGGCTGTAATCATCTCCTTAGTTTCAGGAAAATGACAGAAAAATTGAAAGGCATTTAGTGACTGATTTATAAGCACCCATTTATGTCCTGCATTTTCTGAAAAGTTATATTTTCCTATATGTCCTACAAGTTTTTTTTCTCACAAAGTGCCATGGGGTTGCAATGTCAAAATTGATGCTAGACATCAAATCTCTTTTTTCTCACCTTCCAAATGTCTGTAGCTTGTCAGCATCATTATATTATCCTTGTAGTTTATTCAACGAATTCTTGTAATTTAAATTAGCATTGTGTTAGTGAAACCCCTTGCTCTACCTTTTCCTTCTTCATTCTTTCTGTGGGTATTTATTGCCCATCCCTAACTGCCCTTGAACTGAGCGGCTTGCTACACCATTTCAGCAGGCAATAAAAAGTCAACTAAGCTTTAATGTAGTTGCTTGTATCAAAATGCCACAAAATATCATTCTACTTTTCATTAAGCTATCATGGAGCATTTGGCAATAAATCATGAAAAGACTGGCAGCCTGTGCCTTGACTCTTCCATATTTCCAAACAAAGCAAATAGGTCAAAACTGAGACCAGTCCATCGTTCCATTAGGATGAAAAAGAATCAGAATATGAACCATCTCACATTTCTTCCTCTGACCATCCATCTGGCAGCTAATTTAGAAAAGGGAAAATAATAAAGTTTAATAAAAGGAAGATTCTCAGTTATTGATTTTATATATAGAAGATAATGCTGCTGTTTTTGAGCCTAACTAAAAATAGCTTTCTGTAGTCACATGCATGGTGTGTGCTAGAATTTTGCTAGTTAAAATTCTTTAGATTATTTTGCATTAATTACTTTATAGCATTACATGAGATTAACTATAAATTGTTTTAAAGTTTTATTAGATAACATCGCCTGAGAAATATTCTGATACTATTAAAAATGATATGAGGTATCTGAGGTACATTAATTACTATTCAATTATAACACACTAGTCAACTTATGGAGCAATCATAATAATTGCTAACTCCATAAACTCCTCATGATAGCACACATTAATACTACATTTTCTAGACACAGTTGGACTGAACAGCACTGCTTTGAGCATGGAGGTGAATGTATAATTGATTCAGCTTTGGTTCAGTGATGGCATTCATGCCTAGTCAGATGATCATGAATTCAAATCTCACGCCATATCTTAATGTTATATTGGGGGACTACTGTATTATTCAATGAGTTGGCCCGGACTATCCACTAAATAGCTCAATAGGTTTCAGCACAATCCACCCAAAATTAGCCAAACCAGCTCAAAGAATTGCAGATTTGCAAGCACAGATTGTAGCTGTTGTGAATTGAGATTTTTGCTATGTTGTACTGTTAAAAAAATTGTTCCACAATTTGACCCCACCCACATAGCTGACCACTACCCCCACCTCCATAATGACCATTAATCATAACCTTCCAGACCCTTGAGGAGGCTTTTAGAGTCGTAGAGCTGTACAGCATGGAAACAGACCCTTCATTCCAATGCTGATTCATTTGGGTACAAGGTGATGTTTACAAACTACTGTAACATTCTTTTTGACTCACAAGACACTGACTATGATTTAATAAATTTTCTATGATTGTATGAACATAGATTCCAAAATAATAGCAAATGGTTCTGAAGTTTTTGAAGTTACTTACAGGTGTTCAAGGCCAAATTATTAAGCTGCTTGCGAGACACTGGGATTAAAAGTACCTAGCTGAGTCAAGACCTTATATAGCAAGAAATATTAATTAAAACAAAACTTAGAGAGAAAAACATGTGTTCTAATAATTTACTTAATTATGCTGCTTCTTGGCACATTTTATATCTCCTGACAGGCAAATGTGTTTAAGTAGAAATGTGAGAGAATTAAAGAAAAAAACTCTTCTCAAAAGTACCTCAATTTTTGGCCAAATTTTGGTCCTGACTATTGATTGTGTTCTAATGCAAAACATTACCCAACTCTCAGTAACAAACAAACTTGTTAAACCAAGGCTCAAGCTGCTCTCTCAGGTGGATTTGGGCAAGTGGTGGGGTAGTGGTAATGTTAGTAGTCTAGGAGGCCAGAACTACAAGCTAAGATTCTGAGACTAAATGTGTTTGAATCCCACCATTGCAGGTGGTGACATTTGAATTCGCTAATAATCCAGAATTTAAAAAAAATAGCTAACCTAATGGTGACCATTGTCCCCTCTTGATTATTGTGGAAACCCATCAGGTTCACTAATATCCTTTATAAGAGAATCTACCATCCTTTATCTGCTCTGGCTTATATGTAACTCCAGACTCACAGCAATATGGTTGTCTCTTAACTGCCCTCTGAGCAATTAGAGGTGGATAATAAATACTGATCTAACCAGTGATACCCAAAATAGGAAAATCTCATGCCAATATTTAAAGAATAGCAGGGGAGTTCTGCCAGTGTCCTATCCAACATGTATCATTCAGACATTACTTTAAAAGTCAAATTAACTGACCTATTATCACAGTGCTGTTTGGAGACCTCTGTTGTGTGCAAAATTATTTGCCTACAGAAAGCAGTGACTATATTTCAATAAGTAATCATTTATTTGTAAAATGCTTTGGATGTCCTTTGAGCAAAAATGGTGCTAAAGCAAAGTCCTTCTTTGCAAATATACAGTCTTTTCTCCAACATGTACAGTAGATGTGATTTATACATGTATAGGATCTACCTTAGTGCAATTGGCTGCTTTAGGTTCCAGGTCATTTAGTGTCACTAACTCTCGTAGAAGACTACTTTCTTGATAGCCACCCTTTACTCCACGTAGCTTGAAATAAGCTTGAGGTCTCTGCAGGATTAATCGAAGGTTTATTGCAAACCCTGCCATATCAATGGCAAACGGTCTGTGCGGATCAAACACTGTTTTCCATCCATAAACTTTTCCCATTGCATTCACTTTTGGAGATTCATAACGGAGTCCGCCCACAAAGGCAACAGGCCAGACAGAGACTTTCCTTGTGGCGCGCATCTAATGGAAAGTGGGGAGAAAAAAAGAGTGGTGACATGTTCTGTTCTTGGAAATCAAGTCAATAGAATTACTATCAAAATGCATTTAAAGGTTTAGTCCTTTATGTATTTTAATTGCATGTAATGTGCTATGCAAACTTCAATCAAATTGAATCTCTCTTTAGTCAGCATGGTTGGAAGATGTGACTCGAGATCAGAATACTCTCACTTTGGATATGTTTCACCTTCTCTTTAATGTCACCAGCCATACAATATCAGTAAAGATGTTCAAGTTTATAGTTAGCCAGATGGCAATAAACTTATTGTGTTTATGAGTATTGCCGTTTCTTAATCCACATGCAATGTGGGTGTCACTGGAAAGGCCAGCAATTGTTGCCCATTCCTAATTGCCCCTGAACTGAGAGGGCCTTTTCAGAGTCAGTTAAAAGTGAACCACATTATTTCCAGTCTGGAATTGCATGTATCACAGACCAGCTGAAGATTGCAGATTTCCTTCCCTGAAAAAAGACATAAATTATCCAGATCGCTTTTTAAGATAATTGGTGGTGGTTTCATGGCACCATTATTGAGAACAGCCTTATATACACGCATATTAATTGAACTTAAATTCTGCCATGGTGGGTTCTGAGTGCAAACTTTGAATGTACATCTATAACTTTGACTTCTCAACCAAAGAGGGGAACAAAACAAAATGATTACTTAACAGTGCTGATCTGTAAGCAATTATGGAATGTACATATGCATAGACAGTAAGTTGCAATGTGATTCAGTCAATATTGTATTTTTTATTATCCTATTTGTTTGTTTTTATGGATCTGTAACATAGGCTTTTGTCCTTCCTTGAGTTTCCTCACCATTGTTCTACCTCAGTCCTGAAACATTAAATCACTGAGTTGGATTTACTTTGATGAATCTTATGTAGAAATCTGTAACAATATACCAACAATTGACTATTCCTAACCTGAACACAACTTTAATCAATTTGATGTTGAGAGATTGTTTCTGCTTGTGGGAGTGCCAAGGACCAGAGGGCACAATCTTAGAGTACGGCATTGCCCATCTAAGACAGACATGAGGGTATTTTTTTTCTCAAAGCGTAGTGAATCTGTGAAATTTTCTACCGCAGAGAGCTGTGGGGGTTGATTCTTGAAGATAGGCAGATTTTTAATCAGTGATAGAATCAAGGTTATGAGGATAAGCTGGAAAGTAACCAACACCCCCCCACCCCCCAGCCTCATCCCATGACCAACCCTCCCTCTCATCCCCGCCTCCTCGACCTGACACAACCTGTCCATCTTCTCTCCCACCTATCCGCTCCTCCCACCTCACTGACCAATCCCCATCACTGCCTACCTGCACTCACCTATCACCATCCCACCCACCTTCCACAGTCCCACCCCTCCTCTCTATTTATTTCAGAGCCCCCTTCCCCTCCCCCATTTCTGAAGAAGGGTCCTGATCCAAAGCGTCAGCTTTCCTGCTCCTCTGATGCTGCCTGGCCTGCTGTGTTCCTTCAGCTCCACACTGTGTTATCTTAGCCATAATGTAAAATGCTTTGGGGGTAAAACTGCACAGAACAGCAATAGAGAATTGACAGTCTGTTTTGCACCCTATCAGGTTTCTTCCTTCATTAGAGTTAGTAGAAAATAAAATCATAGGGTATGTAATGTGCTGCTGACATGTTTTTGCTCTTACATATGGTGACTAAGAGCAATTTGTTTCTGTTATCCCTCTTAATGAGGATCTGCTCTGGCTGTACACAACAGAAGAACTCAGAGTTCCTGATTTGATCAAGCGAGTATTGTCTCCTTAGTTCAAAACACCAAAACCTCCATTTCATTTTCTGTCTGTGAAATTTGCTGTGTGCAAAAAGTCACCTCCTTCACCTACATGACAACAAACGCTTTCTGGTCAGGTTTTCATCTTAACTACCTAAGTGATATTTTGCTTCAAGATCTTGATCTTGATTAGAGTTTCACAGACTAGTTATCCAGTGTAAGGTACTGCAGCTAAAGGGGTGGCATTGTAACTCAATGAAAACCCATTCTCTTACACAGAGTTAAAATCAGGCTCGAACAGTATCTGTTTTGTTGTTGTGGACGAATCCTTACATTATCAAACGTATATTGTCAAAGAAGAGTCAACAGATTCAGCTTTGATGACAAGACTCTTAATGCTGGTAGAAATGGCATGATAACTCTCAAAGATGCAAAGTTAAGTGCAATATTAGTGAAAAACAAATTAGGAGAATATGTTACATTTGTCACTGTCTCATTATCATATTTATCATTACACTGGCACTGTGGGCTATAAAGCATTGTGAATTATACATTACATATTGTTATAACCCTAATGGGTTGAACATTGTTTCTCAAGTTGAGGCATAATGGTCTATGTCCGACTGAAAGTGTACATGAGCTTGTGAAAGCCAACCTTACAGCATTATTACTGACTTGGCTATCGTTTTGAGGTAAAACATTTCTGCATGTCATCATAAAATAAAAATTATCTGTAATGGGTTGAAGCACAACTATCCTTCAGAAAATATACTAAAAGGCTTCTAACATTCAGATGGAGATAGAGATAGCAAAGACTGGAATCTTAAAATGGACCCAGAAGATTGATTTTATGTAGTTGTGTGTGATTAAAGCACCAATCAGGTTTTTGACATTCAAGTGAATGCCCCGTGGGATTTTTCAATAATGACCTTAAATCTGGACTGCACTATGTTGTAGTAGGAAAAATGCATTTTGTTTTTTTATTGAGAAATCTGAAGGAATATCAATGGCTGAGTAGAGGACATTAACAATGGTAAAAGAAAGAGTTGAGATAACAAGGTTAATCAAGAAATAATGTATAGTTTATGTCTAGCTTGAAAATAATATATCTAAATTAATGTCAGTGGAAAAGAACAGTTTATTAATACTTAGCAGAAAAGTACAAGCAAATGCCTCAAGTTAACATCAAAGTTAAAACGATATGGGAGGTATCACAAGCCTAAGTAGATTATTTAAAAAGCTGTGTAAAATTGAGTTACTTTCAGTAATTGATACCTTTGACTTGAATAAGCAAGTGAAGAATTAAGTTACATTTTGCTTAATTATGGCCAGTTATAAAACAGTTTCTGTAGAGAATAAGCTAATGGGAAGGTCAAAAGTAAAGATATTGTTTTATGGTATCATGGTTGCTGTTTGATGGCTCAAACTAATATAAACTTAGGCTAAGCATGTGAGAATGTTTTACAGAAAACTAAAGTTTTCATTCAAAGACACATCTATATTGTGAAATGGTTTAAGTTTGTAACAAAGTTTTTAGTATATACTTAGAAGTAGGCTCTTTATTTAGTTTTGTAATCTTGTCGTTGTTTTAATTTTCTTAGATGTGTTATTTGGCACATTTAGGATGATAACTATTCTCTGGGAGGTGACACCACATTATCTAGGCAGGTGCATGAATGGCATCACTGATGCCACCTTATCTTGGTCAAGGTCTATGGAAAATATACACTGAGAGAAATAAGCTGTTGTAAAAGGCACAAGCTTATAAAATGAATGGCATGTTAATGAATGAATGAGGAGACATTAAGAAGTAGCATCATAAAGATCAGCAGTACATTTAATAAAACCAATCAGAAATTAGATATGTTACTTCACCAATTCTAGATTGACTATGAACTTTTCATGTAGTTTTGATGCATTATTAAGCCAGTTAGAGTTTAAAATGCCTTTGATCATGAATGGAGCATAGTGACTAGTACAGTTAATAAGGCCTGGATTTTGATGGTTTAATACACAAAAACATAAGACCAAAAAAAAACTCCAGGCAACAGAACAGAATCAAATGTGCCAAGTCAACCAATAATGTAACCTAGCATCCCAACATGGATAGGCTGAAAATCATGAACTTTATTTTTGTTTTGTACTTGTTGTGATAAACATAACAAATACTGTAAAATACTCATGAGGACTACTAGTCTTCAGATTGGCAGTCTCAAACTCTATCCAATTATAATTGATTTATGTCTTAGAATTAGGGTTAAAATGCATCACAAAGTCTGGCAGTTAGAAGAATCAAATAGGCACGCCAACTGTTGAAACCACATACATTAGAAGTTGCATATAGGTCACTTCTTGACACATGCATGTTATTGATGAGTGTAGTATGTGTTGCATAAGAACATTTGTAGACTCATTAGATCCTTGCACCATCTCTCTACGAAGAAGTTCCATGTCCGTTAATAACTTCAGCTAAAAAGTCCAATTAATTCTATCTTGAAGGCAAGGAGTGGAATTTCTGTTTGCTAACCTTTTGTATGGAAAAAGTGTTTCATAGCATATTCTTTCATAACTGGAACACCTCAATGGCCTCACCCATCAATCTTTTATTCTCAGTGGAATACAATCCTGTCATCACAATTTAATCCTCTAACTTCCTGTATAATTCTGATGGATTTGTACTGAACCCTCTTCAACATCCATATATCTTTCCTGATATGTTCTTAAAACTGAGTGCAGTGTCCTGGATAGGGTTTGAACAAGGCTTAACGTGAAGAATGAGTAGCAAAATTTTCATAGTCTTCTCTCAGTGGAACATATTGAAAATTCCTTAACTTTGTTGCCTTGTTATCAGACAAAATTAAAACCTTCCTCCATTTCTAGATCCCAAATGACCCATTCCTTTTAGGCATGACTGCTTCTTCCTTTGTTAATATTACCACATGGGAATAACAAAGGTCAGATTGGAATATGTCATTCAGATGAAAATAAAGGATGTAAAACGTACAAATATTTATTGTATATAATGAAACATTAAAATATATGGCTAACTAAAATACCAAATGATTTCATGTGTTGTCTTTTAAGGAACAGATCCATTATAATTGTCTGAGGTACTTAATTAAATTTGAAGTTACTCAGTCCTAACTAACTGCAATTCCAGTCATTTTGAGTTTCTGTTTCTGAGTTATACATCATTCTATACATCTAATTGTAAGAAGTGTATACTTTTGTTAATATGCAAAATCAAAGGAATGTATGAACAGGAATAGGCCATTCAGCCCCTTGAGCCCGTTCCATCATTCAATGAGATAATGGCTGACCCATGGCCTAACTCCACATCTCTGCCTTTGGCCCATATCCCTTAATATCTTTGCTTAACAGAAAGTTATTTTCTCAGATTTAAAATTAACAACTGATCCAGCATTCACTGTCACTTGTGGAAGAGGATTGCGTACATCCACCACCCTTTGTGTATAGAAGTTCTTCCTAACATCTCTGCCGGATGATGTTATCACAATTCTCAAATTATGCCCCCTAGTCTAGAACCCTCAACACATAGAAATAATTTCTCTTCATCCACTTTGTCTTTTCCTGTTAATATTTTGACGACTTTAATCAGATCATCTCTTTACCTTCCTAATTTGTATAGTTTCTCCTCATAACTCAACTACTGAAGCTCATATTTCATTCTTGTAAAACTACATTGTACTCCCTCCAAGGTCAATATGTCATTCCTAAATAAAAGCCAAAGAACTGCGGATGCTGTAAATCAGGAACAAAAACAGAAGTTACTGGAAAAGCTCAGCAGGTCTGGCAGCATCTGTGAAGAAAACATCAGAGTTAACGTTTTGGGTCTGGTAACACTTCCTCAGAACAGAAATGTTCATTCCTAAAGGTGTGATGCCCTGATCTGCTCAGAGTACTCCATGTGGTCTAACCAGGGTTTGCATCCTTATACTGCCGTCCTTTAGATATAAAGGCCAGCATTCCATTAGCTTTTTTGATTATTTTCATGTTATTTTAAATGCATCTATGCATCAAAACTCCTAAGTCTCTGGATATCCAGTATATTGAACTTCATACCATCTGGAAAGTAACCTGATCTATTGTTTCTCTGTCCAAATGAATAAAATCAAAATGAAAAACATTTTGTGTGAACACGTAAGCTATTCTAACTAACTAGAGGTCATTTGGCCCAACATTCCTGTCTATCTAGGTAACATAGATAATTATTCTAACATGAACTGCTATCACATGACTGTAAGCAATGTTAAGTTCCTTCTGCTGTCTCTAGTAAGTCAAATCAAGTATTGTTGTGAGCATTTCTGTGACCATCTGTTTTCTTTCCTAACAGATATGACTTCAGATCCTCTTAAAGATCGATCCTAAATTAATAACCAGATCTTGGATTCCCTTTCATGTATCAATTGTCCAATTGCTTGTGGTAGGTTTGTTGGGGGAAGGGCAGGCAGAAGATACTTTCTCAAATTCAAGCCTATATATGTTATATTCTCTCCTGTGGCCCTTTGTTCATTATTAAGGTTCATAATTCATTCTTAAGTTTCACTATTTTGAAGACTGCATTATGTCTTTTTTCAGCCTCTTCTCTCCAGGAAAATGTAAGCTTAATGGCTTGAACACGATCTATGTATTATTCTCCCGAATGCAGCACATGTACGTACAGTATTGGTATGACCTTGTTCAGGCTTGAGATCCAACGGTTTGCAGATGCAGCCAATCAGAATTTGAGTTTATCAATGATAGATTCACACTAACAGGATATTTTCAGCTTCTGTGTTCAACGACTCTTTCATCTTATACACACTTAATACTTCTTTATTCATTCATTGGATGTGAGCATCAACGACAAGGCCATTATTTTTTGACTATCCTCAATTGCCCATAAGAAACTGGTAATAAGGCCAACTTCTTCAAATACAGAAAGCAGTTTGATACAATTTAGTGGCTTACTTTGGAGACCAAGTAAGAGGCAAATCCATTGTTGACTGGAGTGACATATAGGCCAAACACAGATAAGGACAGCAGATTTCCTCTTCTTTGGATTATTAACGAATTAGATAGTGTATTTTCAAATCACACGGTAGTTTCAAAGTCATGACACTAACATTTTTATCCCAGATCTATTTAGTCAACCAAACTTAAATTCCCTAGCTGCCATGTGGCAGTTGAAGTTTCATCTCTGGACAAATAGCCCAGTGAAGTAATCACTTTCTGGCAATGCCTATGCATTGTCTACATTTGTCCACATTATTTTAGACCTTCAATGTAATTGAACCAAGACGCTCTGAAAAGAATCAATGTACTTTTCCTTTTCTAACCATCCCTATAGCTTCATGTCATCTCCAAACTTAGTTAAACTATTTCACCCATACCCTATTCCATACCAGGCTAGGTCTGAAAACTCAGGGCAAGTTTGTCAATGTGCTTTAGTTATTTTGTCCATTCAGCACCAGACTTTGTCTTTTGTTGTTAACCAGTTCTTAGTCCATCTGGATAAAGTAGAATTTGTTCATACTCATTGACAATTCCTACCCCAGTCTCAGATGTGGAACTTTGCTAAATGCCTTTGGAAATTCAGGTAAACTGCATCTACTAGTTACTGATTTGTAATGTATTTTTAAACCAATGGATCAATGTGGGAAGATATATAACAATAGCATGAGGGTAAAATGGGAGATATTTTATAAGTATGTTCAATTGGTACAGAACCCTCTTCTAATGTTGAGAATTTGCAGGCAATATGCGTATGAATTTCCAAGCAAGGTTTTATGTCATTACTGTGTACACAGGAAATTACTCCTCTGAGTGTGTACACTAGAGAATGCAGCTTATGGGGGATAATCATCTAATTTACACAAGAGACATATGCCAGTTGTACAGCTGATGTTTGCAGCTGAGGGAGGCCATGAACAAATGAAGACTGCAAATGGAAACAGTACATGTTGCACAACAGGCAGAAGGAGTGTTCAAGTCTGTAACCTCGGTGTTCAGATGATGTTTTTAAACAATGTAATTTCTGCCAAGGCTTGAGACGTAATCTGAATCTACACCCAGGACACAAACCTGTCACCCGCTCTAATAACAATCAGCCATCACTAAGAGATCGTGCTTACCTCTTCAAACAACTCTAAACTGTAAGTGTTGTCATCATCTGCGAAATATATGATCCCTTGCTGCGTGTTGTTTAAATTGAACATTTCCCGAAGCCACCTCAGTGCCAAGTTTCTTTGCATTGTGCCACGTGGGAAACGAGGGTCCCGAATATCTCCTCTCAACTTGTAACTGCGTGGTGTCTCTACATTCAAGTGTGTGTAGTTAAGGCCCGTCTCCTTGAGGAGTTGGGTCACCAGTGTTGTTCTTCTCTGCGCATCCTCCACCACTATCCAGTGGAGGTTAGGCACATGAAGTAGGGTGTTAGCAACCCTTGTGAGTTCTGCCTTCTGTACAGGCCTGCTGTAAGTTGGAGTGATAACATGAATTGTGGGGAGGATATCTGACCAGGGAGGAGGCCGTGTATAAACATACTCCGTCCTGATCACCTCCACAATATCCTTATCTGATGGACAATACTCCTTGGAACCTGATGACTGACCAATATCTCGGCGGTTGCCATTCTCACTCCCATCATCTGAAAAAAATGATAATTTTTGGTTATGTTTTTGTAAATTTTAAAATGACTGAATACATTAGTTTCTGATTTTCATCTGTGTGTTCTGCTAACAGCAAAATGTGAACTCAGACTCGATCACTAGATGGCACTTTACATTACTCCATCTGTTCGTTGTGTCGTGTGTATCATATTTCTGTGCAGTATGATATAATTTATAATGATTACACTTGCATTATCAGATCAAAATAAATCAAAGTTCTTCAGCAAAGGAATTATTTTTGAAATACAACTGCTAAAAGCAGTAATTGCAAAGAAACTGTTGGTTCTGCATATCTGAAGAAGATAAAGTGCTGGAGAAACTCAGCAGATCTCAAGAAGAGTCATATTGGAGTCAAAGCGTTAAGTTTTTCTTTCTGCAGACAGTGCCAGACCTGCTGAATTTCTCCAGCACTTTTTCTTTTTATTACAAATAGCAGTAGCTATTCTGGATAAGGGAATGAATAGCACTTTGGTTTGGTGATATTACTTGTATATCAGGAGAAGTCCAAACTCTTAGTAATGGTTTTGGATCTTTAGCATCAACCTCACTGACCAGATTGAACTTTTCCTTATTACCACAGGGTAAGATGGTTGCCAGTGAGGATAAAGGCCTTGTGTTACAGGTGACTATAGATGGAGAGGTCAGATGGGCAGATCAGAGGCAGATGGAATTTAACCCTGATAAGTGTAAGGTGGTGCATTTTGGAAGAAGTAGCAAGACAAGGAAGTTCCCAATGAATGGCGGAACAGCAAGAATCTCAAAGGAACCAAGGGATCTTGGGATGCTTGTCCACAGATTCCTAAAGGCAACAGGACAGATGAATGGGTAGTTAAGAAGGCATACTTGCTTTTATCAATCATGGCCTAGATTATAAGAGCAGGGAGGTTATGTTGGAGCTGTAAAAAAACAGATGGTTTGGCCACAGCTGGAGTATTGTATGCAGTTCTGGTCACTGCATGATAGGAAGGATGTGGTTGCACTGGAGAGGATGTAGATGAGATTCACTAGGATGTTGCCTGGGATGGAGCAGTTTCGCTATGAAGAGAGGCTGAATAAACTTCAGTTGATTTTATTTAGAGCAGAGAATGCTGAGAGGGGATCTGATTGAGGTGTATAAGATAATAAGTTGTATAGATTGTGATTGTGGACAGGTGATTGAAAGTAGCTGGTATCCTTAGTTGAAGAGTCATTAACAAGGGGCCATAATTTTGAACTGAAAGGTGGGTGAAAGTGAAGGAGGTTTAGAGGGCATTTGAGGAAAATTACTTTCACCCAGAGGGTGGTGGGAACCTGAAATGTATTCCTTGTGAGGGTAGCTGAGGCAGGAAAACTCACAACTATTAATAAAGTACATGGATACACACTTGAAATATCATAGCATTCAAGGCCAAGCGCTAGAAAGTGGGCCTGGTATAGATTTAGAGTAGTCTTTGATCATGCAGACTCAATGGACCAAAAGACTTCTTCTGCACTGTATAATTCAATGATTCTATAATGCAGCCAGAGGATGGTAACCGTGACAGTGCGGCACTCAGTTTGCACTGCGTTGCAGTCTCAGCTCACTATGTGCACATGTCAGCACAGAACTGAAAGTATGACAATGGAGATAAGATGACACACAATGACATATCTCATACACTTAATAGTCTAGAAGTGCAAAATGTAAATTTGGGCATTGCAGATTGCAGGATCCTGAATGCACAATCACAATTTTACATCTTGCTCGCATCTGATTTAATTTTCTTTTTCAGCAAGTGCCTTATTAAAAGAGAGAGGTGATAAAACAATGACAGCAAACTGTCTAGAGTCCCATGGAGTCATGATTACAGAACATCATTAGAAAGTATTCGGATCAAATTCCCTACCTCATTGACCAAAGGCTGCAACTTGGATTTATTGAAGAGAGGAGAGAAAAATGTATTGCTTGTTTATAAAGAACAGATACATTTAATTTCTGTAAATATATGGAGTATTACATTGCAGCAGATACTTTTATATGAAAAATAATTTTATTGATGCTAGTGTTTAAATGATTATACAAAACAAAACAAGTCTAACATTGATTATCTGCACTTAACTGTCAACTGCTTTGTGGCAATTGTACAGCCTTTCCAACACATATATGTAAATTTCCAATGATTGATTGCTGAGCCACATGGTCCTAGGCAGGCATGAATTCCTATATTTTACAGACATGTTATCTGGCAATGGGACTTTATACAAATTGCATTTTCAATCTGGAGAGATGTGACTATAATGCAATTTAATGACCATGCTAACATAATAATAGATCAGTTAAAGGGTTAATACAAATTAATATCATGAGTGTTATAAATGCTTCTTACTTAATATATAAGTATTGAATATACATTAATTCAAAAATTAGACTTGAAAGTGATTACTAGAAATTAGATTTGGTTATTAGCTCCATTCAAGAAGCTGACCAAAATTTGAATACTCTTGAATATATCTATGACATAATTAATATTCCAGAGGAAATTTGTGAAATAGGTGACAGCCATGTTTGACTAAATCAATTGCAAGGTGGAAACCAGCTTCAAAAAGGTTTTGTATAGGCCAGTTAACTAAATTTCACATAACTCCACACAAAAGAGCCTGAGATTTAATGATAAATTAACCAATTTATTTATTAGATGTGAAATGGGTAGCTCAGTTGACTTGATGGTTAACATGTGATTAGAATAATTCAAGCAGCACAGTTCAATTCCTGCTCTGATCAATGTAGATTTGGGACCTGCCTCCTAGCCCTGCCCCTTGAAGTGGGAGACAATGACAAGTCACCACTGGCAAAACCAGCTCAAGATGGAGCATCAGAAGGCAATGAGCCAAGGACCTGCCAATGGGCAGAGCACTGAGGAATGAATATGCAGAGGAGCATATCAAATAGACACAATACCAGCAAGCCAGACCACCAATTTGCAACAACTGAACAGTAAAAGGATGATTTGAAAATGTTATGCTTGTAATATTATATAAACCATACTCAGGTTACCATAAAATTTAATTGTATCAGTGAATTAATTGCAAGCAATCTACATTTCTTACATATACTTAGAGGAGGATAATGTTCATTAGTTTAAAGCTGCTAAATGATCTTTAGTTCTATGGGATTAATAGATTTGGGGTTTCATCAGGCTATTAGAAAAATGAAATGTTGGAAAATATTTGCAAGATAATTCAGGAAATATATTTCATTCTTGTACTAGGTTTCTGTCAACCTCACCTGGAACACTGGGGTTGAATTTCTACAAGAGTTTCTTCACTCATTTGCCTTAACTCTCTCAATTATTATTTATCTCTGATGACTTGCTCCTCACAGGACATTGCCTGGCTGTTCAGGGTACACAGGATGGATGAGGATGATGGTGAACTGAAGTTACGTTTTATGACAGTATAGGACAGATTGTTGATCTAACTGGTCCTTTTCGTCTTTCTATGCTCTAATTTTCTTTCATCGACCAGAATTTTCACTACACTGCAGTTCTGTTTCATTCAGTTGTTGACTGGTGCTGATTAATTTTCCAACTCACACTGATGATCTGATATTTATTTTCCAATGTATTCAGTTACATTTATAATCCAATGGTACTTCCTTTTTCACATTTAATAACTGTTCATATTTAATTCAATCTCTCCTTTCAATTAGACTATCATTTGCCTGATATTTTCACTGTCCTGAAGCATGAAGAGGAAAGTCCAAAAGTCAGGATCTCTCACTTGTAACTGGAACTGTTCAACATTTCTTCTATAATCTGAGCAGAAAGAAAATGTTCATGGACTGTGGTCAAATTTCATCACTACACTTCATCACCCAGGCAATAGAGACAAAAATCTGTATATAAGAAGGTAATTTTAAATAATTGAGAAAAAATGACTGAAATTTTAGTGAAATTTCTATATTTCTATAACGCTTAGTTCAGAAATACTCCATCAATTGTTTCAACTTTTCTTCTAAATGAAAAATGATGGCTGTTGCCACTTTTCAATTACATAGTAATGGCATTGCAATATTAGCATTTGCAGGACATTTATTGGATAGGTTAGCTTATATAGTTAACACCTCCCTTATTATAGTAATCACAGAAATATCATATGGACAAGGTAGCGTTTCGACATCTCATATTGCATCACTGGATTACATTTTTCTGACCCTGACATTTCTATATCTAGAGGACAATTATAGAAAATCTTCCTGAGTGTTCCTTTCAAAAATCATTTTACAAACAATGAGCAGTTTGGGTAATCAGTAAAGCTGCCATCACTTACCCTTTCTCAGGGCTAGCAGAGGTGAGATGGCGTTTTGGTGCCAAACTGTAATAAGCAGGGTCCAGGGTAAAACAATCAATACAATTGCGAGGATGTCCCGTCTCTTCGGCATCTCCAAGATTGGTCCTACATTTCTTCATCACCTGCCACAAAATGCCAAAATGGTCAGAGCTACATATCATTCAATGGAAAATAAAGCTCAAAATACTCTACACAAGTTACACACGACATTCTTGCTTTACACACTGTTTGATGGAAGATTTCAATTACAGCATCTCTATTTTGGAAATGTGGTTCTGGTGTAAAGCTAGGGCTTAATCTCCCACCCACACATTCCACATTGTTGCATTGATAGTTTCTGTGGTGCAATTGCAAGCAAGCTGGGAATTTGGGCAAAGGAAAGATCAGAGCACGAACTGCTCCAAGCATTCCCAGGGCACACTTTAAAGAAGCAGTAATGGAATTTTAGAACATGGATGCTCTCTTTTCCTCTTTATTCTGTGCACATTTGGGGAAAAAAAACCTTAGAAGGACAGTGTGAGCTTGGAGGAATGTGTATATCTGCATGTATGGGATGGTGGAATGTTGCAGTGGATGCTCAATACAGGAAATTTTTTTTCTTTATTCATTCACAGCATGAGGGCATTGCTGGCCAGGCAGCGTTTATCACCCATCCCTATTTGCCCAGAGGGCAGTTAAGAGTCAATCACATTGCTGTGGGTCTCAAGTCACATGTAGGCCAGACGAGGTAAGGATGGTAGTTCCCTTCCCTAAAGCACATTAGTGAACCAGGTGGGTTTATCCCGACAATCGGCAATGGATTTATTGTCATCATTAGACGCTTAATTCCAAATATTTATTGTAGGTCTCTGGATTAACAGTCCAGTGATAATACCACTGGATTTTAATACCACCCTTAATAAGTAAAGATGCAATCTCAATCTGGATAAATTCCAAAGCAAAATCAGTGCGGAAATAACTCAGTAGAGTGTGTGACTTAAGGAATCATTATTCTCAAGTTTTAGAAGACTATGATGTTTCATACTTCTCAATTTTGGGTTTTCTGGTAATTGTTGTAAAGAAATGATTTAAATAGGATACGTGCATGTTATTTCCCAAAATATTTGGTGAACTATCATGTGGACCATATGTACAAATAACACAAAGGCAAAATATTGCAGATGCTGGAACTTTAAAGCAGCAATAGAAAATTTTGGAAATGCTCAGCAGATTTGCTGAGAAAGCAACAGGGTTAGCAGAGTCCTGATAACAAGTTATTGACCTGAAACATTAACTATGTTTCATCTCTCTCTACGTGGATGCTGCCAGAGCTGCCCAACATTTCCAGAATTTTCCATTTTGATTTATTTATGATTTAATGTTTATTGGAAGATTTAGAGAACAATGGGCCGGTGAACCAATGTAAGATATGTTACATCTCTTCAACTAATGTATTTTAGCTGTTGTCATCACAGCTTAGCAAAAATCACCTTCATTCAGGTAAGAAATTACATTCAATGTGCAGACCTTTTCATTTCTGACTCTGTTACCAATAAACCATTTCAAACTTAATCAGTCAGGGTTGAATACAATGCTCTGATTGTCTAAACATTGCATTTTCACATATCACTGAGTCAATGCTGTTACAACACACATGGCATCAGCGCACAGCAACTGAACTAAATCCAACAGGCTATAAAAGCAAAAATATGACTTTTCTGTCTTTCAAAGCCAAGACCAAGCAATTCTAATGGATGCCTATTTTAATTCTACTGGTTGATGAGAACAGGCTGATTATTTGGAGTACTCAAACCAACAGTGGTGTTCTTGAATTACTTATCTTAGTCCTACTGTATGGTTTTCAGGACTGTCTGCCTGCTGCTGCTGGAATAATAATAATCAGGGCTGCTTGTTTGTCAGAGTGGCCCTACAGTGAGGTAAAACACTGAACAACTCTTAGGGAATATACTTCAAACATTTTCATTCACACAGGTACCAGTTGTTGGTTTGAACGCTGATTTAAAAACTGAGCAGTTCCAGTCACTACAATGAATGCACAGGGAGGTCATGTTGACTATATAATGAAAACTGATAACTATAACACTAATTTAAGACTGGTTAGAAAATTGGAGAAAAATGGCAGATTTTCAAACGCCAATTTGAATTATCTGTTTTTTGTGTAATTCATCATTTGGCAGCTTCTGCTAGTGGACTGAAGACACCAAGTGAAGTAATTGTTGGGGGACTAATTCCAAGGAACAGAATTAATGGAGAGGGTATTTTAGTTATTGTAAACTATTAGGCTGTGCTGATAATTCTAATGTTAACCAAAGTGACCCACGTTAGGAAAATCTACTCCTCATGCTTGTTACCTATTGATTCAAGTCAGTAAGGTTGTATAATGAGATTCTGATCATAGTAAGTTCAGATACAAAGGTACACAGATGATTGGAATGCTGCCATTGATAGTATATGTTCAGACATGAAGAATACACATTGACATAATGTAAAAAAAAACTCACTGTAGAAAGAATACTAATGGAAAGGATACATGAAATCTGCTGAAAACAAACTGAAGTATCACATCCTGTGAACTTATACAATTAGATGCTAAATTTATGATTCATTTTGTGTAGTAATCATAAGAAATTATACCATGCAGCTTTCTTGGAAATGAATGGTCCCAATAAAAACAATCCTACTAATATTAGACTGGATCTTGTTGGAAAATAATGATTTGCTAGGGTACCAGGGAAGGCAATAGCCTAGTGGTATTATCGCTGGATTGTTAATCCAGTGACCCAGGTAATGTTCTGGGGTTTGAATCCTGCCATGGCAGATGGTGGAATTTGAATTCAATTAAATAAAAATCTGGAATTAAGAGTCTACTGATGACCATGAATACATTGCTGATTGTTGGAAAAACTCATCTGGTTCACTAATGTGAACTGCCATTCTTACCTGGTCTAGCCTACATGTGATTGCAGACCCACAGCAATGTGGTTGACCATTAACTGCCTTCTGGGCAATTAGGGATGGGCAATAAATGCTGCCTGGAAGCGATGCCCTCATCCCATGAATGAATAAAGAAAAAATAGGTAATTATCAAAGTACAAATCAACTAGCAAATTCAAAGATTAATAAATGTATCTTAAGTAGCAAATTTTCACAAATTGTTGGTTAAATTACATTGCTACACTATCTACAGCACAGTCTCTCACACTTAGCCTCCACTTTATTTTTAAGAACTTACTGGATGTGCATATCAACTATTCATTAAACTCGCCTCAGAAATTTTACTCTGATAAATAAGAGGGTAAGTATGTTGTAAAGTTGCTCAGCTGCATGGGCCCAGTTGAGAAACTGTTAAAACTGTCAAGTCAGTTGGTAAATTGTTAGAGATTTTTACACAAAGATTTTTTTAAGATCTCATTTTTCCTTTTTTTTTCATTCTCACTCTCTAAATCCAACTTTTCTTCTTTCTCTATTTCTCTTTCCTTACCTGACTAGAATTTATTTTACTCAATTCAATTTACATTCCATCTCAGTTGTTCCTCTGTTAACTTGTCAACCATTAACTCATGCCAGTCAAGGATATATCACATTCATTGAAGTCCCAGAAATGTTTTTGTCCTTGTCGTGCAATTATCAGCTCACACTTCAGAAACGGAAAAGTTGATGGTGGAATAGAGCAAGCCAGAACCATCCTATGTGATGATGGTTACCCTGATGAGGCCATTTATCACTGTAAATTTCTCACTGGCCCTGATAAGTGCCCAGTCGACCTCAGATTACCCTGGATGGATAAGGTATGTCAAAAGTTTGAGCAACAGTTGAAGCTAGCTGTTTCACATTGCTATTATAGAGTAGCAACTTGAGTGGTATCACCACTAAGAGGATGATGAACTTAAATCAGAAAGACTTTCTGCCTTTCAAATAAATGAGTTATGATGTCTGTTAATTTCTATTGTGATGCCAGGTTCTGATCCCAAATACTAGCAGATCTTATCAAACAGCATATCCCTTTGCCTGCTTGCAATAAGCAAATACTGACCATACTCAACCAGCCACACTGGCAAAACTTGCAATAGTTTCCAACATAGGATTTGATTCTGCAATTGGTTAATAATTGCTCGACAATACTGGATGTGCAAAGAATCGCGTTGACAGCTAATTAAGGATTGTCAACTGGGCTCGCAGTGTGACACACTTGCATTAACTAGAAACTACATATACTGTATACACAGGGACCTGTTATTTGCAGACAGAAAGAACATGTGCAAATATTGCAGTGGTGATGAGCTGCCTTCCTAAACTGTTGCAGTTCATTGGATGCAGCTAAACCCACAATGCTTGTCGAGAGAGAGCGAGGATATTTGATACAACTTATTCTGCACATTCTGCACTTATTCCAACTCAACAGAGTCGGTGACAGCAATTTGCTGGTTTATTTCTCAGGGCAATGCACTAACTAATCAGAGCTAACCCATCTAGTTTAAATTTTAAACAATGGCTGTTGAGAATCAATTATGTTTAACTATTCCATTCTCTACAGCAATGCCTCCACCAAAGATTGGTATTTTTGCAATTTGTTCTGATGAATGCAAGAAGGAAACGTCAATAAAATGTGAAATTTTCAGTAATATTCATGAATATAAATACCATATGGTGCTAAGTTATATTTTTTCCAGATAGTAGTAACCTACCGTTTGTTTGAACTCAATCCAAATAAATTCCATTCATGGAAATTAATGCAGGGTGGTCTTCATCTTATTGAAGATTATCTTGTGCGGAAAATGCAAGGGACCAGGGGAAATATAAACCACAAGTGAACTTCAGCCCAGAGATGCCATTAACTTGATGAACCAAACAAGGCGACTTCTCAGGTGGTCATCCCAGATGTGGAACATCTGCAAATGAGAGTGCGTTTAGAGATTCAAGAGGCATTAAAATGAATGGGTGAAGAATGATGGAAAGTGGGCTTGGGAGTTGACCCTTTGCAGATATGATAGCAGCATCCCTTTAATGCCAGTATATGTAAAGGAACTAAGGGCATTTGTGGCACAGTACGAGTATACCTACCTCTGGGCTAGAAGACCTGGATTCAGTCTCATCTGC